GGGAAATAAAGCATCCAAAAGTGGAGTGTCAGAAAACGACAGAACTTTCTGAAACGCCTAATAGTTTATTGAATCGAAACATCATCAGCTAATCTCGTTGTACCAGACGAAAGGCGGCTATCACGAGAAATTAGGAGTTTTTTTAAGGTGGGGGGGGGGGTGCGTACATATCGGAAAGAGTAGAGACCATTCTGAAGAGACGATAACAGGTGTTTTCTTGGTGGTAAGGTCGTCTACATCGGGTAATGAGACACCGAAGAAGCTTTGTAAGGCTTATCGGAGCCCAATCCCACCCATTCTGGAGGCGTGAAGATGACTTGTTCAAATTTTTCGTATCATATCTTGTATCTTCTTCGCTTCAAGGTAACATGCTGATTTATCCCAAACCACCTCTATCTTTTCCTTGAATGTTCCAAACTTGGAATGAACAGGCTCATTAGGGGTCTCATTTCTAAGGCTTCTTAGCCTTCTTTTCCTTGGTTTCTTCGCGACCATCGCACATTTTAAGGTTCCTATGGGGAGAATACAAAGTTTGCGAAGCTCCCACTGCTCCGCTGTGCTAAATTTCTAGAACTGCGGGTTTCAGAGATTTTTTTCTTTCTAGATTTCTGAGCGACCCAATCATGCGATTGAAAATTCTCGATATTGTTCTTGAGATTGAATGGAAAAGATGGTGTGGAAAAAAGTATGTTTGAATTCAGGTTGTCATTGCGACGAATATCGCGGAAACCTCGTTAACCATTGATGGGATATACTTCGTAGTCGATCCTGGCTTTGTGAAGCAGAAAATCTACAATCCAAAGAGCGGGATGGATTCTTTGGTTCGTTTGTCTTATACCTACCCTTGTTACTGTTTTGCAGAATCGTAGATTGCTAACTACGTTTTAGGTGGTTACTCCGATTAGTCAGGCTGCTGCCAAGCAGCGTGCTGGACGTGCAGGACGAACAGGGCCTGGCAAGTGCTATCGACTTTACACGGAGCGCGCCTATCGGTTTGTTTTTCTAGTCCTTAAACAAGGTGTATGAAAGTAGTAGACATAGTCATTTATTTTTAGGGATGAAATGCTGCCAACGCCCGTACCAGAGATTCAGCGTACCAATCTTGCTTCAACGTTGCTGTCCTTGAAGGCCATGGGTATCAACAATCTCATCGATTTCGATTTCATGGATGCTCCTCCATTGGATTCGATGATAACGGCCCTTCATCAACTGCATACTTTATCGGCACTGGATGGTGATGGCTTATTGACAAAACTTGGTCGCCGAGTAAGCATGATTTTCTTAATAACTGTCGAGCTCTGGAATTAATATGTACAAACTGCGTGCAAACAATGGAAACCTTTGTTCAATGTTCTTTTTCTCATTCTCCATAGCTTTAATCACGCGCAGTCGCAGAATTCGCAGTTTCTGTTGAACGTCACCACATTTTAATGTCCAAGATATCTTCTCTTGTAACTCTAAAATCAATGAGTACTTTTTCGTGACGTCCCTCTTCATTTTCTTCGAGGCTCCTTGTGGTCTCGCCTTTGGCTTCGAAGGTGCAGCCTCCATCACCGTCTTCTCCTCTCAGTCGTTACCCTTGCCTTTGGGGAGCTCCGTGGCAAGTTTTGCAGGAGGGGCTTTGTCGGAGAGTACCTTGATGCCCTTAGCATATTGAAGAGAGGTTACTCTTGCGAACCTATGGTAGGTTTTCATATGGTCATAAGGGGAATGAAAAACCATCCTCAGAAAACTTGGTATTATGATTCATCCTGACACGTTATACTCAATGTGGATATGTCTCTGGCTATACAAAACACTATCACCTGATCTGATAAAGTCGAATATATGAAATTCTCTTTTTAGATGGCAGAGTTCCCATTGGAGCCTTCTTTGGCAAAGCTGCTCATTATGTCTGTGGAGTTAGGATGCTCTGACGAAGTACTAACTATTGTGTCAATGCTCTCTGTGCAGAATGTCTTTTACCGGCCGAAGGTGACTCAAATTTATCTGTTCTACCTTTCAAGATTTGGATGACCACGAATTGCCAAATATCGTTTACCTACGTTTCCTCATTTCTGTGCTAATACATCTTGAAGAGGCTGATTACGAAACATTGGTCAAACTTGAACAAGTGTTTTAGGAAAAACAAGAACAAGCTGATCAGAAAAAGGCAAAGTTCCATCAGCCCGAGGGCGACCATATGACGCTCCTTGCCGTGTACAACTCGTGGAAGCACCACCACTTCAGTCAGCCGTGGTGCTTTGAGAACTATGTCCAAATAAGAACTCTCAAGCGTGCGCAGGATATTCGGAAACAGCTTCTTGGTATCATGGATCGCCACAAACTCGATCTAGTCAGTTGTGGTCGCGACGTTCAGCGAATACAGAAGGCAATTTGCTCTGGCTTCTTCAAAAATGCAGCGAAACGAGATCCTCAGGTACGTTGGCCACTGCGCGCTGATCTTTATTCTTTAACGGTTTCTCATATTCCAGCTCCGAAACGGACGCACTTTTTCATATACCATGCTTCTTTTTTTCAGGAAGGTTATCGTACTCTTGTGGATGGACAGAACGTTTTCATACATCCTTCGTCTGCATTGTTCCAGAATCAACCAGAATGGGTTGTTTACCATGAGCTTGTTATGACGACCAAGGAATACATGCGAGAGGTAAGGCGGCTTCGTTACCCAGTCGGCATAACTTGTATTGAATTACAATTGAAAGGATGAGAGATTTTAGCTGATGTACAAATTTTCCATAATATTCTGAAAGCTAATTGTGGTTCGATGTTGTATGCTCTCATTTGTCCTTTTATTTCGGTCAGGAAATTCGTTTTTAGCAAAAATATTCCTTTATCACATTAAAAAACCCCAGTGTCTCTAAATAATAAGAGGATTGCAAAATAGCAGTGATAGGGCGTTAGTTCGTGTGGTATCCCAACTTGAAATGGCTCACTGTATACCATTCGATAAACCCAAAGCGTGTTTCAAGCAGAATGTATCTTGAAACACTGTACAGCTTCGGTGGAGAGTCATCTTTGATCTGAATCCAGGTTCAACTAACTTAAACTCCCCTTTTTTCTTCCAAAATTTGCTATGCGAACAATTTTTGTACCGATGAATGTCGTATATTGTTGGCTTCAGGTTACCGCCATCGATCCACGATGGCTAGTAGAATTTGCGCCGTCATTTTTCAAGATGGGCGATTCGACAAAGTTGTCGGCATTCAAGAAGAACCAGAAAATCGACCCACTTTTCGACAAGTATGCGGATGCAAACGCTTGGCGTATCACTCGAGTCAAGAAGAAGATTTACAATCCGAACAGATAATATGTTTTCGATTTTCTTATGTACTCGCCAGGTAAAGGAATTTTCCTTGCTCACGTCGAGATGTGTGCAAATAACGTGCTGTTTCATCGAGTTTTTCTTCTCGTTGCATAAAGCGCTATCATTCGCTGGTAATTCCGCAGACTATAAACGTGGTATTTTGGGTAATGTACTAGCTTTGAAGCCTGGCCGTATCGGATTCGTCATGTTTGTACAAAGGCACCGCCTCATTTTACACGTCTGTATATATGAATTTCTAATCTTCTTGTAAGGTATTCAAAGTGTCGGCCTCGCTAAGTCTTGAACTAGTTTGTCGTGGAACGCTTGTTTTAGGAAAAGCGTTCATTAGAGCTAAGCTACTGCTAAAAAGTTATATGTTTTAGCATGTTTTCTGTTATTTGTTAATTTCTACCTCCAGCAGTTGAAACGATGTTATGGATTTGTTGATGATTTGTTCTGATAGGCTAGGGTTCAAATCAGCATGAGTTACGGATCAAACTGCTTTGCAATTAATGTGATAAATAAAGCAGTCATATTTCATGATTTTGTTGTTGCCTTTACCGTGAATAGGTACCGACAGGATGCCCGTCGCGCGGCAAGAAGGCAGAGGTCAGCCGAACGAGTCCGCGAGTGGGGATGTGTGATTTAGGACGAACAATGGTAAGATTAAATTCCACGATAAGGTCAGAGGGTGAAGAAGGGGAAGCCCACCAGGTGAAAAGACAGGCGGATTCCTTATCGGTGAGGAGCGAAACGCAATTCGCAGTGAAGGACATGCCTCGGGCGATCTACCACTGGCAGTCCTCGCGCCCGCAGCATCAGCATCACCAGATGAAAGTCAGCAGCGAATAAGACATGCTTATTAGCGGGCAGAAAGGAGGTGCGATTCCTTCCTCTGTTCAGACTGGTTTTTTCTTAAAATCTGTTTTGTTTTAAATTCACCTACCACCTCTTTCCTTATTCCTGTGAGCTGTTTTCAACCCATAACCCGCCTTAGAGGCAGCGTTCGATGGTGGGTTCATGTGTTAGGTCTCGATGACCATACTGAAGGTTTTTGGTTAAAGGACGTCAAGACGGTCCAGTTCACCATGACATTCAATGATGTCATCAAATCGCACCGCCCTGCAGCCATCGTGGTCACTGTCTTTACCTAACAAGTGTCGGGTGCGTGCCGTCATGGAAAGGCGTGCTCAGGATTACGGGATCTGAGCAACTGCCATCGGTCGTACCCCACACGGAGGACAGTACTTAAAGAGAGGTCACCAGCCAACGGACAGTCGTCGGTCGTCAGTCGTCAGCCGGCACTCACTCCCCCTTCCCCCTTTCTCACCCTTCTTAATCTCTTATTTTCGCATTTGAACTAATAAAGATGTATAGTCTAATTTATGTATACCGCTACACTTTCAGATTAAGGGTCGGCCTATCTATGATCTGATATGGAGGTCCCGGAAAGATAATTTTTTTCTAAACTAATTCCCCAATATTTCCCGTAGATGGTACCAAGCTTACGAGGGAGTGCAACTTTTCTTCTCAGTAATCCCTCCCCCGATCTTTTTCTCAGTACCCCCTCTGGCGACCCCCATTTCCACTCACAGTAACCGCTCTCGTCGTCTTGATAACCGTGCCTGTCAGATGAAGACCGTAAGAACATCACCTAGGAAGGACGACTACTTGTATACAGGTGCATATTTTATCATTTCGTATTTTTTCTTGATATGAAAAAACAAAAGAACAGATCACTGGATCTGAAAAAAAAAGATTTTTCAAAAATATTTATTCTTCTACCTACTTAATCTTCATACATGTTTAATCCCTAAACATATTTAATCTTCAAAGATTTAAAAAAATACAAAAGAACAGATTAGCAATCTGGAAAAATCTTGAAGAGGACACTCAGAATCACTGGTTTGGAGTTCACCAAGCCTTTACATGCACAATGTTGCATTCAAGTTGAAAACAAATGGTCCTGGCGACGAGATCCACTTTTTACGGCTACCCAATATAAACCCACTGAAAATGGCCAAAATCACAATTCTGATGCAGTAATTACCAGACAGTATAATTAGCCGTTCAGGAACCGTAGAAAACTGTTACAGGGAACACGATTTCCTTTCCCTAGATGGTCTCCTTTGTTTCTTCCACTTCAGCTAATTCTGGAGCTGAAACTCAATTTTTTCTTAAGTTCATGGGGTTAATTCTATCACAGATCTCGACAGCACCGAGCAAAGTCTCGCAGTCAATCTGTTTTGAGTTTACCGCGATGATAATTGGTTGGCTCGAGCGAAATATCTCGTCCCATCATTGAAAAACCAGTAATAATTATAATTTAGTACCTAGCAGTGATAGTAATGTACTACACGTAGTTTAAGGGAAACCACTCCTCTAATAGAAACATCTATAGAGTTGAGTTTATTAATTTAATAGGTACATTGCAGTTTAAGGGAAACCACTCCTCTACTAGAACGATCTAGAGAGTTGAGTTCATTAATTTAAAACCCGATTTTGCCGTTATTTTGATCTAAAGGACTCGCTCGCCATATAGTCGACTCTTAATCAACTACCTTTAGTGACCCAAACGGTACTATGTAGTTGTGGTACCAACCAATGAGAATTAGCTACTCTCGCCCCGCCAGATATCCTTAGGTCAGTGGAAGATAAAACGCAACATATTCGCATAATAAACAATATAATAAACGTTTGCGTAGAAGCTTTGGCATTCATGAAAAACAAATTGCATAACCGCCGTAGTACACGCGAACTGCCCTGGCGCTCGCGAATAATAAGTTGAGTAACCGCATTGCGATATCATAATCTGCTGACCCGTTGGATGGCAAACACCCTAACACAGCCGCCTCGGAGCGGATATCTGTGCTTCTGTTACGTAATGTTCCTAATCCCAGGACACAACGTTTTCTTCCACCGTAGGATTACGGTAGTTATTGCATAAGTCTCTTACAACTTTACACGCTAGTCAGGACTGATACCCAGATACAGATGTATCCCTAATCTGTATACAATAGATGATCCCCACATCTATTAAAAAGTCCTTAGATCTTCCAAACATTATAGCAATTCAAGTGAAGGTTGGATGCATGGCGCATTCAATAAAGTACTGGTTCACTAACAACCGAATTTTTCATACTTTTTTCATATGGTGAAGCAGCATTAGTCGGACAAAAGTGATTTTCATATAAAAGGAATGTTATCTGATACAATCAAATTTTAAAGTCAAGTGTTGAGTTCAAACCGAATTTAGGTAAAGAAAAGAAACAAATCGAACCTAGAGCCCGGAATGTTGAAAAATAATAAGTACATAAAATTGCCTTGGAAATTTAATCCATCGATTCAACGTTGATCGATCTTGGTTCAGAGCACGGCGCATCCCCATTCAGGAAGAAGGTTTTTTCTCAGCTACATATGTTGAGCAGTATTTGTTTTTCAGCATTCCTCCCTTACCATCTCATTCCGCAATTTTGAAGTTACCGGGCGTGGTGTAATCCACAGATATTGCTCGCAATTTTTTTCTCAACTACTCAATAGAGAATATAAAATTATATCGTTTCACGTTTGATAACAAGATCGAGAAAATCTGTGACGTGTCCACCAATAGTTTCATAGTTTCGAAGCGACACCATGCATGGCGCATCCAACCCAGGTAAATAATTTTTCACTATTAAAGCTGACTTTCTAAACGAATGTGGACATTTCTTCAGCCTTAATTCAACAGCCCAAGCAGATATAGCAAAACAACCCCGCTCAATGCAATTTACACTTACTAAGAATAGTCTTTTGAAAAGCTGTAAAAACTTCCAATTTCGGTTTCTAATTTGTCATCAGTATTGAGTGTATGCTCTGTTCTGGCAGATTAAGCATAGAAAAAACCAAAATGTCATATAGGAGCCCAAAACTTTCAAAACTAGCCAAGTATTGCAAACTTCGAAGGATTTCTTCTCCAATAAGCGCGTTGAAGCGTACAAGGGAGTGAGGGAGCCTAAAATCTACGATTTCGAATCAGAAAATCGTATTTTTCTATATTTTCCTTTGAAAGCTAGCACAGAAGACGGCGCATCATCAATCAAGAAGAAAGTGTCTCTTCAAACTGTTTTGGAGAGCAGTACTTGTTTTTTTTTTTTGAATTCCAATCTTACCATCAAGTCCAAAATCCTAACAATAATGAAACGTTTATCTGCGGGCATTAATTTCAACTTTTTTTCCGATCTCACGTGGTAGGAAAGTAAAACTATTCATTTAGTTAAGCATGGGAACCAAAGTCGAATAAAATCTGTAACCTTCCCATCAATAGTTTAATATCTTCCAGAAATCCGTACATGGCGTATCCCAAAACGAATAGAAAGTTCGATTTTTTTTGCTATATGAATTAACACTTGAACAAATATAGGTGTTTATAGAGCTTAGCTCAACAGTTGAGCCCAGTTTAGCAAATAAAACTCTGAAAATTCATTTTTACACTCTGGTAAGGAAAATCTCTTGAAAATTGTTGAATCTTACAATTTTGAATTCTCATTCGTTATCAGCAATGAGTTTAGACTCCAGTCTAGTAAATACATCTCGGAACAGATCAAAATCAAAGAAATGAAACCCGGAACTTTCTCAGTTAGCCTCCCCTTGCCAAATTTCAGGATTTTCTTCCCCAGCATACAAGTAAGCGAAGAACTGCAAACTACACTACAAGGGAAGGATACCAGGTCGAAGTGGCCATTTGTAACGAGACATACACCACTAGATGTGTTTTTGGACGCTGATCTCGAATCTGCTCTCCAAATCTGCGGAACGATTCCTGAACGTAGTTATGAAGCGAGATAGTGCAGTGGCAGCGGCCCAGGCCGACGGAAAAGAGGTCGTGGGATCGAATTCTTGGCGATATCTCACATTTGCTTTCCTTGAGACATTGCTAAAGATGCTTTTATCCATATAAATTATTAGCGATTGCCTATATTACAAGTGGGAATAGCTAGCGAGGAGCATCTAACACTGTGCGCGCCATTCGCAAAAGATCGCCCCTTGTACTCGTAGCGCACGCGTCAGGCGCATTCGTGCCAAACAGAGGTGATATTCGTATTCAGCGCGTCAAAATGCCCCTTTCCACAACTTTTGGTCCAAATCTGAAATTTGTACCTAACTTTGCAAATGTGGGCAGTCACCGTTGGTCATTTGCACATGGCACGCACACTTGATCGAAACTCCTCGCTATCTCCTCGCACTAGTAATAAAGGCGAGTGCTGATGACTTAGCATAGATGAGGATTTCCTTAACAATGTCCTCAGGAAAAGCAAAAGTCAAAACTCGCCGAAAATTCGATCCCACGACGTCTTTCCCGTTGGCCCGGGCCGCTGCCACTGCACTATCTCGCTTCATAACTACGTTCGGAGAATCGTTCCGCAGATTTGGAGAGCAGATTCAAGATCAGCGTCCAAAAACACATCTAGTGGTGTATGTCTCGTTACAAATGGCCACTTCGACCTGGTATCCTTCCCTTGTGAGTCGAAAACTAGGATTTAAAACTAGGAAATCCTAAATTCCGTACTTCTCTCTGAAATCTTTGCAACTTTAGATATCAAGCAGTTTGATTCTTTCTGCCTTCTTAGCACCAGAAAACAGCTCTCAAGACCAAAAAAATAACCTGCAAGTGAATGAATGCATGAAATATTTCTCGTTTCGCGCAGCACCTTCTCCACAGTGAGAGAAAGAACGCATCTTTTGCGGAATACTGTGGGAAATTCTTTTTAGATCGTTCTTTCCGTAGGATATTTTCTACGTCTACCCCTATAAAAGTACAATGAACACCAATAATAGTTATTTGTGGGTGGAGCCTAAAGGTAGGTCAGTAAAGAAGCATCGGAGCTCCTACCTTAGAGCCATTCGTCTTAATCAGCTCCATCCGGACTGGTCACCTTGGTTTTCTTTTCGCTCCACTCTCTGCTCTAAAGATCGGACTTATGGTTAGCCCTCTCATGTGAAGGATCTTTCCCACATCGCAAGGATCAGTGAGCCTTTAATCTTGGTCAATTCCCACGACAACTATAAGTTTTTCATGAACTTTCTAGTTTAATTTCTTATTTTCTTTCATATAATCGAAATCTAAACAAAAACTCAGTTTTTTTTGAAGAACTAATCAACTAATTAACAATTAAACATATTTACAATAGGGTCACCTCAACGATCCCATTGACGATCGATAGATACGCCACGTCTTCCTACTCCACAAGCAATTAGCCTGCCAATACTATTCTGTTGACCCTATCCGTAAATTCCTATCCTATCCTCCTTTCAACTCCAATCGTATTGCTCTTCCGGCTATAAGGAGGTTGGTTTATTTGTTACTTTTACCTTTTCTCTTCTGAATTTCTTTTGGAGTGGTAATATGCTCTCACATGTCACACCTAAAAAGCAATCGTGAAACGATGTCGAGCAGCGATGAGTTTTCACCGCTCGTGGATTGGAGGAAGTACTCTTCTGGCTCTGGGAGAGTAATTCGGTGGGTGTTTACAAGGTACCGGAGGGAAAGGGAAAAAATCAAATTAATCGATCTGTGCTCTTTTTTACAGGGGAATTGTTCTTACTGCTATAATCAAAGGATTTGGACATATAATGTCCATAGGCGTGCAACAGCAGTAAATGAAGAGTGCTTAAAGTTGGTGAAAGAAAGATCGAGAGCTAACTCTCTTCACAGAAAAAAGGAAATTGGAGAGCTGGGCCTTGGAACGCCAGCATCTACAACGTCAACTGGAGAGAAGAATTTCGGTACGAATTAATAGTCATTGGCCCTTCATCCTAAATATTCTTCCGCCTAATAAAGTGAATGTTTTTCAGAAACATTTGCGGCTTACTGAGCAGACCGCTCACTTCGGTACGGGGTCATGCCGTGGACAACGACCTCGACACCCGTCTGCTGATCCTTAATTGATTCCAGCTTACTGGATAAAACATTGTTGATGCATACTGTGGTGGCGACAGGGTGTATGGGAGCCCTTAATACTTTGATGTTACTGAATTTTTGAAGTTCCCATATACTTTTTTCTGCCAGAAGGTATGATGGTTGTTCTCTAATATTCTTTAGAGGACATGAATCGATTAGCGAGCATGCAGTTCCAGAAGGAAAGATGAGTGTGTTGGCGGTAAGTGAGACATAATAGAGTATTCTGTGGTGTGTACTTCAGTAATAAAATTTAGCCAGCCATGTGCCAGCACTGTGACGAGTCCGCGTTTAACATGCAGGCTGGCGTGCAGGACATCCAGTCCTTTGAACATTGGAGGGAAGCCTTGAAAAAACGAATTGCGGGCCGCCAAGAGATACACGAAATGATCGTGGAGGACCAGCGTGAGGACATAGAAGTGCTCGAACAGCGTATAGAATTTTTTGACCGGGTAAGGCTACATTTCCTCGATGGGAACTTTTTCAATCAATTTGTTTTCAGTCTAACCGACTAGCTGAAAACGATCTTATACACTGCGTGGACTTCTTTGAGGAAGAAATGCCCATAAACTCAGAGTATTTTCGCCGCGATGAGATGGTCCAAAGCGGCGAAGAGCTATGGGGTCAATGGAAGTTACGAAGGAACTTCGAAGGCATGAATCGTCCTGTTTCTGAGGAAAGGGACGCGAACAGCGAAGAGGGAAGGTGGGAACCAGTGCGACCTCCTACTCCATGGGAGGCCTTCATTGGAATCCGATTGAAAGTGTTCCGTCTCTTGTTCAGAACATGTTGCTTTTTTTAACTTAGCTGTCAATAAAGATGCGGTAAACTTCGGTTCAGCCGATGTTTACATTAGATCGATATCTGGTTGGCCTACGCCATTGTGCTATGCGTACACATATGATCCGATTAGAGTGGGTCTGGACAAAGCATATAGTGTAAGCTAGGAAGGGTGGGTTACCGTAATCCTAGATGTAATGTGTATAGTCGCGATTCAAAATTCGGCGATCTTTGCTGACCAGATTAGTTCCTGACAGCTAGGTGCAAATTAACTAGAGTTGCTAGAGTTAGTTGCTTGTTCCTTCGCGGATATTCATGTGTATCGTTCTTTTTTTCTCCTTCTTTTCTGGCACATTGTATGGTTAACTTTTCCTTTTACGTGGCGTTTTATTTGTTGCTTTACTGTTGATACATGTCTGTGGCATGTAATAAACATCAACATCAACATCAACTCAGCCCAAAGAAGCCTGTTTGGTTCTGATCGAAGCGGTCTCTGCGACGGTGTAGTTATCGCGCCCCATTCTCAGTGCAAGTCCGCCGCGCGTGTGGACGTGCTTCGCGTCCGCCGCAACTGGGCTGTTCGTTCTCCGGTTTGAGGTGGCGGTGTCAAGGGATTTTCATTGATATTAATCAAGCTTGTGCTCGTGTGATGGGATTATTCTGAGATGCGGAATGTCGTCCGGTCAACTACAAATCGTTGAGTAGTAAGTTGATTCTTGGTTCTTCGTTATTTGTAACAGGAACAGCTACGTTCGGAAGATTCAGTTAGAGAGTGGACACTTCCCCGCTTCTCTTGTGTTCCATGTAGGCGCATTACCCTGCAAATTTGTAGGTGAGGCTCTTTCCACAGATGGTGTTAGACAAAAGGGAAGTGATGAGTTTCAAAGCGCTGATGGTATCAAGGCTCACGATTTGTTGTAGGCATAACCTCAAATGGACAACGTTTTCAATGTATTAAAGAAAACATGTAGAAGAAAAGGAGGATTGGTGGAAAGATCAAGAGAAGTGAGAGAAAGAATCCGAGTTAAATGCCCGTGGAGAGTAAGACTGAAATCGGGCTTGTATCTTTTCGTGACCCTCTTTTCGTACATACATTTTTTGGAACATTCTAGTGGCTGGTAATAATACGAACTACTTGCAGTATATTCTCTACCAGCGATCGTTCTGAGCCCTGAGTGAACCCATAGACGTGACGTTATGGCCCCGATGATTGCAATTTAAATTCTCCCTAAAAATTAGTTGTATTTCAAGGGACGCAATTCAAGCAAACGAGGGGGCCGCCAATAAGATCCACATTATGTTACCCGTTTTCCATTTAATTCCTATTTCACCGGTTCAATAGTGTAATTCAGTTATGATGATGCACAATCACTTGTTGGGTCCGTCATCTTCGGTTGCGAGCACTAGTGGGTTGCAAACGGCTGCTGCTCTCTCAGAAGGTGAAAAATTTCAGCTAGTTGTGAACTTCGTTTTGTTCATGTATACGATCAATCTTATAGGGCTTCAATTCTTCTTGTTTCACTTTCAAGAGCGCCCTTGTTGTTTTTGAGGAATATTTTTCTTTTTCGTTCAGGAGCAATCTTATCTCACGCTTTGAATCAACCAAAAGAAGAGCTCAAAACACATTTTACGACTAGGGAGGGTTCATACAAATTAATGACTATGGCGGAATATTCACGCCCAAATAGGGTGCCAATGAATCAGGTTGTGAATGGTTTCAACATTTTGACTCTTTTTTGATTAAAATTTTTATTTTTATTTAGATGCAGCCTGGCACAGCTAATGTTGCTGGGGCGCCTGTTCGAGTTTCTTTCCTGACATTGAACACGGGGAACAAATCGCCGTCTCCCAGAACGGAGGTTATCACCTGTTGACATTGCGGCGTAACGTTTTGAGGTTTTAGCAATTTGACGGCGTCTTTAAGGAACAAGAGGACTTTGATTGTGATGAGAATTATCGTGAGGACCTTGCAACAGCTGATAGAATTTGTTTCAATGTTGGACGGGAACTGTACGTATATTTGTATAAGTGAGTTCCTACAGTATCTCGCATTGTTACTTGTTTTTTTTTCCATTCGTCTTTTTTACAGAGGAATCCACACTGCTGCTGATTTAAGTAAGCCAATTGATAAACGTGTTTATAAAGGCACTTACCCTACCTGTCATCATTTCAATCAGGAAACTGCTACTAGCACAAATTGCAGGTGAATGATTCTTTTCCGTTGTTGGCAGTTCTTTTCTGTTCCTAGTTCATTTTTTGCTCTCATTTCTTTATTTGTTTTTATTTACTGGCTTACGTATTTATGCATTTCTCTCTTTCGCTCCTTTCTTTCCTTTTTTTGCTTTCTACTCAAGGTTGTGGTGTTTGATGGAGATTTCAATAAGCACCATAACGTTGAATAAGGCTTCCCATGCGGCTATTCGCTTATCGTCGAACTTCACCTTTTCTTTTTGTTACTTGCAGCGTTATAAATAGAGTTGTCTTCAGCGGTGATTTAATATTTTACCTACGGTCTGCTCCTCGTGCAGGTCCAATACAGCCCAAGTTAAATCTTTTTATCTTATTCAGCCTAATAATTGGATTTTCCGCTGGACAAATCCAGTTGATTGATCCGTTCCACAAAGAGTATCAGGCGAGCCGCCTTTATAATGAAGAGAGGTTTATCGACAAAACTGGTGTCACATGTTTACGATGGGTTCCTGGTAAGGTTTTTTGAGGTCTTTTTGTTTTCCGTGGAGCACTTTTTATTTTGCTTTATTTTGCGGATGGGCTTCTATTGGTAGTCGATTTAGGTCAAAGGCAACATTTTCTAGTCTCATACAGCAGTGGTTATATGTATTTATTCAACGAGGAATTGCAGTGCCCGCTTGCGCCTCCAGTTTATCAAACTTTCAAACAGGTGTGTTGAATGATCTGTGTTCTCCATAATTCACATTGGTTCTAACGCAGAGTTCGCAGTATTTCGCTTTTAAGCATCGGAGCTCATAATGTTTTGTGAGTAATGAAGGAGTGCTTTAAGAAGTTAGTGCTCTTCTTTAAGCGTTTTTTGCAGTCGTGGAACCCGAAAATGAGGTTCTTTTCATTTGGCTCCTTCAGCATTTAGGTTGGGCACCCAAGGTTGCTTATCAAAGCAACATATGCCGAAGTGACCATATTCAGTTAGACAATATCATGGAATGTCCCGTCTGGCAATAGGGCATGGTATCGATTCCTCGGTGGATTTTCTTCCACGTCTGCTGCAGCGTTAAGTACTTACTCCCAACCGTGTTACTCGATCAACGCTTGCCAACAGCTACCTTCGAAGGGTTCGCGTGCAATTCTCAACAAAAAAGTGGCATTTGCTGAAGACTGCATATAACGTCCGTAGCGCACTCGGTTTTCGCGGCAAATAGATGTGATTCGTGTTCAGGAGATCAAACTATCCTAACGAGCGGCACCTAAAGTTGTTCTGTTCCTAAGCTGTTTCTTCAAGCGGCTATAGGCACACAAACGAAATAGCACACTCAGAAAGAAGTTGATTCTAGATCCTCTTATTTGTGAATCTGGACCACTATCAACTGCGCTGTAAATTCACAACTCACTCTCACCTCACTGTGCTTGTAAGCCCCATCACTTCATAGCATGCAAGCGAGCGCAAAAAACTCCGTAACATCGCGCAGAGAGTCGCTTCGCAGTTCGAAAAGTGGATCTGGGAAGTACAAGATGCAACCAGCAGCAAAGATTTGCTTTCGAGTGCTTATGACAACCTGCGATCTTTCCATTTTCAATGGGTATTTAAACCGACTGAAGGCTTACGCTTCAGATTGTGTGCCTGCATTGTGATCGGCACTCAGTGCAATCGAACCTAATTTTGTTCCATAAACCGTGCTCGTGCAAATGCGAAAAATCAGTGAGTCACACAATCGTCTTAGAAAATGGTGTCACTACCCTGAGCGCTTCTCCGTTCGTCTGAAGCCCGTTCTGGTCTTGATATGCTTGAAGGCGGACAGTGGCGGTTGCTGAGTGACAAGTGGCGCGCTCACCACGCGAGCGGTCCGGGATCAATTCCTGGGTCGTGAGTCGCCCGGGCCAACCAAGCCTTCCATCCCTTCGGGGTCGGTTAATTGGTACCAGACTTGGTCTGGGAGAGGGATAAAAAAACACTGACTTGAACATCGGCTGGCCCCCGCAAGTCATTGTATAGGCCACATCGCATTCAAATGCCACTGCGAATGTACAAATGGAAGTAGAATGCGTGCCGCATCCCAAAACGGGATTGATCAACGGCAAATGCTTTATCCTTTTTTTATTTATGACTTGAGGAAAGGGAAGATATTTTCGGTTGCACTTTATGTGGTCTGTATACGCACCGTTTACTCCTGGGGAATCTTCTGAAGTTCGTTAGTATGCTGGTAACCTGACATATTTGCCCTTTATTATTATCTTGCATAACAAAGTTATATTCACCACTAGGTTGTCATTTTGAGGAAGGGCCAAATTCGTACGCGTGTACACGTGTAAAGCGAAGACGACAAGAAATCCTGTATATCGTTGGCAAATTGGTGAAGGCGGAATCAATCAGTTTGCATTCTCAGGACCGGATGCAAAAATGCTAGCTACTGTGGGACACGTAAGTTATCAACCAAGTACTCTCCTTGAATCGTTTTCTCCACCACGAACCCCTTGATTTTGTCAGTTGATCCTGCTGCTTACCGTTGCTCTGTTTTCCTTGTTTGATTCTGGGTTGTGTGGTGTTTCAAAGCAATCCCACCGTTTTCAAAACTTGATGGTGATATTTTTGGGGTGAAGTTCATGAGCAATCTCACAGAACATTGTGTTTTCGTTTACTGGAACGTAAACAAGTCATTGCAGTTGCGCAGTCCTTATTCCTTATTCGCTATGTCAGCCTGAGTGGTTTTTATGCATTTCTGGTTTTTTGGGGAATGAGCATGCTGCTGATGTACAGTTGGGCCGTTAGGTGGAGTGGGAGCGGACCAGCGGATCACGAGAGAATTCGTTGTTTTTCCTGGGGTTTCTTGTGCTTTGGCTGGTTTTGTTAATTTCGTATCGCATTTTTTTAGACTACTATACGATGTCATCAGTAACCTAAATGAAGCAATTCCCGGATAATGATGTCACCCTTTTTTCCTGAATCTTTCATTGAATTGCACCGCCGACCTAGGCACGCTACTTTCAGGCACGGTCGATCTTGGCGTTCGTCCGATCGCGAACGGATGTAGGTACCTCTATTTCAATGAGTGATATACCCTAGGATCCCTAATATACATCAACTGCGGGGTAAGAACTCCGGACAAAACTACGATTCGACCGGCCTCGTCAACGATGACTCCATAGTAATTTGATTTAGAAGACCAGTCGACACACTCCAACACGACTGATTTTGTCTATGAAATCTGGCCTGCGGGACTGGGAGTGAATATGGTCTAAAGACAGTAGCAGAAATCCATCAGAATTTTGCCGATTTTTATGTCTCCCGTTGCTTGGTGCGTATAATCTTTCCGTCGAAATCCCCAGAGTCAGCAGAACTCGCCTCGCGCTCGCAACACGATCCTCAAATGTCCTTGAAACGATCCCCTATTCAGCTTTGACCTCTAGCAACGCCAACTCCTTATCGCTCTTCCATAGATCCGATTAGTACTTGTTGGCCATCTGGTTTACCGTTTTTACCGTGTTTGGCGGCATCTCGTAGACATTCATCCTGTACAGATTTTTTGGAGCTTCTTCATATTTATCATGGTGAATTCCATTATTTTAAAGGATGGCTATTTGCGAATATTCAACTACCATCAAATGGAATTACTATCATATATGAAGTCATATTTTGGTAAGTGTTTACACACATTCTTTTTTAGAGCCGTGTGAATATGAAATCATCTGACTTAGGTGGTCTGCTCACACTAGGATGGAGTCCAGACGCAAAGTTGATAGTGACTGGTGGTGAGGACGACTTGCTGACTGTGTACAATGTTCAAGAAAAACGTGTAGTTTGCCGTGGCCAAGGACACAAAAGCTGGATATCTCAGGTTGTTGTAATATATTTATAAAATGTTGACGACTCCTAGCCGTTAAATTTGACAATTTACCTTTCTGGACTGGTTTCTAGTTCCAGCCAAAATTTTGCTCCCTCTCACTTCCCTTACCAAGCAGGTGTAAAGGTTGCTATCTTTTTAGCAGAGGCCACGTAGTTTCTGCAATCTCTTTTTCACTCACTCTGATGCGTTTTCGAATCAATAGGAATTTGTTCCTTATAGCTGGTAAACGATGCGTACAAGGTTACGGAGGTTTTTTGTCACTCATGGAAGGATGCCCTCTCTGTGATAGTTGCTCTTCTTATTCACATGACCATTTGAATAAAAAAAAGTGAAATGTATGTTTTCCTTGGGACAACTACTTAAAAATATTTTAACGTTCATTACAGAGTAAAAGAGAGAATTTTGAATTTTCTCAAGCATTACACTTCCTTTTAACATTAATGAAATCCTAATACCCGCATTTGAAGTTCTGCGCATTGGATATTGCCGAAATGGTCTTGAGCCATTCGTATTTGTATATTGTCACCCCAAAAATTTTTCGATGTCTGTGCTGCGGCCGCGCTCGCAAAACCCTTCAATCTCACGGCAAAAACCCAAATGCGCGCTGTCGTCAAATTGTTATAAAACGCCCATGAGTAGCATCAGAAAGTACAAGGTAAGATCAGAAGAAATTCTCACCTATTCTTGCGCTGTAGTGTAAAATTTTAGTTCTTATTGTATTGTGTTACTGTAGTGGTGGAGGAAAAAGCGTCTCACTATTGTAAACTGCTGAGAGAAAAAAGATAAATTACTCGGAAATATTCCCAAAGCGGTGCCTAGCAGTTCAAAGGCGAAGCCTACGATGAAAAGACAGCTCATAATCATAACAGCTTAATAATAATAATAAAGCTCACTATAAATTAAGATTATATTGATAACTAAGGTAGGCGTTGGTGATGGATGAAGAAAAGTCCATGAAAAACAACCTCGAACACGAGAAATGGGATACTTTTTCACGTGAGGCGCGTCTTCCGTATTGACCTCATCAACGCTAACGCTCTCTCTGCTGGGCAGTTGGGGCCAGACGACAGGGGATGGGCGGGCAGCGGCGTTAGTATCAGTGGTTGTGTTGGAGCGGTCATGATAGATCGTAGAAGTATATCTTCGCTGTGAGTTGCGCGTTGGTTCGCACCCTTAGGGGATCCACCTGTAGTTGCGCCAGCTGGGTTTCCACTTTCTCGACCTCTAACTTTATCATGAGCCTTATCCTCTAAGATGGATGAGCATCATTCACTCCGCATAGCAAGAATGGATGAACTTGCTAGTTTGAAGCAGCTCGTTATGTGACATCCTGTTCTTTTCTTTACTACTTATTTGTTTTAGTCTAACGAGCCAGAGCAACATCCGCAACAGGCATTCCTTTTAAACAGTAATCCCCAATAATCATACAATTTCTTGTTCAGTCAAACTGGCGCGTCAAAATCGCGCAAATTCAGCGAAACCTGCGCGATCGCGGATCTCCTGACATCAGCGTAAGGGTTTCCGAGAGATCTGTTTAGTGCTCAATGCGTTCTAAGCATACCGTCATGAATAGTGGCTAGAGCTCCAGCGAATATTTGAGGACTCTTATCGAGTACAATATGTAACCAGCATTTCTGGCCGCTGTCGTTCACTAATTCAGTCTCCAACTTTTCACAGGTTCAATTGATCCTTATATGTGCACAATTGACGGTGAGCATGAGCTGAATGGGATTGGAGCTTTGGACATTGGGTCTGATGACGAAAAGCTTGCGCATACACCTGGTGGAATGATTCAAAACGGACAGGATAGTAGGGCTACTACGCCAGTTATAAAAGGTTTGTAAGCGTAAGGTTGCATTTGTAGTTGTTACTCATGTCAATAGCAAATTACAGCTAATGTGCGCAGACCACCCTTACAAACGTCATCATATTCGCGATGCTCTTTCACTTCGTTTGGTACAATCAATGGACTGGCCGTGTGAGTCGAAATTTCCTCGTTCTTTCCTCTCTCGTACTTGTTTTATACTTTTCCTTCTTTTCGCAATTCATTGGGATCACAATCGAAATTTGTGGATGCTCTGCTGGCTTTGTCTCTCCTTCCTAATGACGTTCTTTATATTTTTTTTCCTTACATAATTTGCTCTTGTGGGCGCAAGCTGTCATAAGCTCCATCATTGTATCTATGACAAGAGCAATGTTTGCCCTTCTAGGCGTGCGGTTGCGTGTACGCTTCACCTACCAGTGGCCTCTATATATATATCATTCCTCTTGACGGATCGCCCCAGAGCCCGTCCCTCAGGCCTACGGCCTGCCTCGAAATTCTCTCCGACTTTTCAACTATCCCGGTCATCCAGCCTTAATCAGGTTCTATACATCACGTTGACGCGATTTGAAACTTACGCCCATCTCCCTGCTCTAAGCGATCCCCAATAATTCCCCTTGCCCGCATAACTCGTTTTGCGTGGTGTAGAGCACCATTTGGACCTATGCGTTTGAGAAAAACACCCTCCCAGCTGCTCGGAGACCATTCATTTTCATCTTTGTCTTTCTTTATGTATATAGCAGCACATTATCGCTTGTTTTTTTTTGTTCGACTTGGCGTCTATTTGTTCGTGGAATCGTTCTCACTACGTAGATCCAAGAAAACAGTTGCGGCATGGTCCGCATGTATGGGATGGGTGAGAGGTTGCCCTGTGTGTACGGTTGAAGGCAGGGCTTGGCTAAAAGTGGACAAGGCAGTGGGCGTGGTTGGTCAGAGAAAATATAGGTTTTTGCGAAGAGGGCTCAAATGAGGTGGGTAATCACGGTATTATTATCGCTCTCTACGAGTATTAAATATATCTGAGACATCCTTGGAACCGGAAAAGTGCTAGAGATCAACTATGTTTGAGGTCTGCTAGACTAAATTCGAAAATCCGGGTTACCTCGCTATTTATGAAGAAAGCTCTGTGTGAAGCAGTCATTAGCTTGCAGAGCAAGCCTGGCTATAATTTTGATAGCGGCTTTTTATGTTGACTGAAATAAGGAGGAAGTAAAACCCTTAAAAGGCTTAATATTTCAGGGTTGTAGTGGTGTATGCTATCGTATTGGAAGTGTTGGGCATGATACTCAGCTGTGTTTGTGGGATATAACAGAGGATATGCTTAAGGTAAATGTACTCCTTGATTTTCCCTGTTTTCTTATCCCCATATACTTTCTTCTGAGCCATGACCTCATTTTGCCGTTCAGCCTGCTAACGTACAACGTCATCGTAACTCAACAATCATTGCACCCATGTTGGGTCTAGAAATCCAGGTTTGCTTCTTTTCATACTGTTCGCAGATTTATCACTTCGTCATGGACTGATAAGTTTTTTTTCTATCGTTTTGGTGGGAAGCACAGTGAAGTTTACTTGCTGCTTTGCTGTGAATCAACTGCTGATTGAGCGTTCCATTTGTATGCGTATGTTCCATGTGCATACGAGGTTGATAGGTGGAACGTTTATTAGATCGGCCTAACGTTTCGACAAATCGTCGTCCTCAGAGGCCTAAATGTGGTTCAAGGTTGGCATGACACATTCTACTCCAGCAAACGCTTGGTTTACGGACTACTTGATTTTTCCTCAATGGTCCTGCCGCGATGGCTAGAGCACAGACGATTAGAGGACCCTAGGACTAA